AAAACAAGGGAAACTAGGCAAAGAGTAAATGACCTGGTTAGCACAGAGAATCTGGACCACCCTTAGGCCTGGTTCACAGGCCAAATCCTATTCTCTGAGTCTGCTCAGATCTCGTACCTGCCTTCTTCCAGCTCTCTGCCAGGAGAGGCAGTAACTATGCTTGGCAACAGGACCTGAAGTGCTTTCTGACTGTGGCAGTCTCGGGGCCATACCTGAGCACCTACACTAACATGAATCAGGAAGGTACCATTTAATTCAAACTTAAGACTGTACAGAATCACTGTACAGAATCCTATGTGTGAAATGCAAAAGCAACAGATGATCTAATGCCTTATTAGCAGGACTGACATTAGATGATCAGTTCTGATCTGACAGTGTGCTGACAAATGCTGGGGGATCTGAAGACTTACTTTCACACCCTGCTGATATCATGACCCCAAATCTCTTTATTGAGAAGGAAACTACTTCTTTAACACTTGGACTCTTAATGTATAGAGCTTCCAGTTAGCCTATGGGACTACATCCCAAAGTTATCATGTCTTAATTGCTTTATCTTGAATGCTTTATGGGCTGTTTTTCTAGGAAGCATCACTAGCACTAAACCTTTGTACACACTGCAGCACAGAAGAAAACCTGTAAAAACATCACCACATTGGGCTTAATTTGAGATGGAAACAAAGTGGAAACTGGAAATCACCACTGTCTCTACCAGTGGTGAGTTTAGTCTGCAGCAAATTTTGAATGACTTTATGGTGTCTTTCAGAGGCTTTTTTTAAATAAACAAGAGATAAAGTGAACAACACAACTGATGTCTATTTAAAATAATGACCTGAAAAATCAGCAAGTCTGCTTCCTGCACCTTCTTTTGCTCTTCAACCAGATCTTTGGACAAACCTCCCCTCTTGTAAGCTTCCCAGGTCTCCACGCCATAATTGAAAGCTTCCGAGTTATGCAAGCGACCTGTGGGTAGAAGTGAAGTCATTCCTTGCCCTGTGTCCAGCACCAAGCCAGATAAGACTTAAACACAGGTTGCAATCTACAGTTCTAAACAGAGTCATTGCTTTCTGTTTTCCCCACTTCCTTTTCTTTGGTGGATATTCAGCATCCTCACAGCTGAAGGTGATTTGATTTTAAACTGGAGAGGAATGTAGAGCCTCAGAGTCCTAAACTTTCACCTTCCTGTAGCAACATACAAAATGCAGTCAGTGCAAGGACTTAAGCTTGGCTCAGGACTCTGGTGATGCAGGTGGATGATTTAAGGGAATTTAGCTAATTGTTCTGCCTCTGCCTTAGGGTTTCCTGAGACCATCATGCACTTGTAAGCACGATGGAGCTGCTTTCCAGCCTCTGTAACTGGGAAATTCAGCAGGTGCTGGGGAACCATCAGGCACATAGGTTCATTCTGTTGCTTCAGCTGGCAGATATCAGTCTCTAGCAGAAGACAGAGGCAGTAGCCTCATGAACTAACTGTGTAGCAAGTCACAGAACAGTATCTGAAGACATTTCCTCACCATAAGAAATGGATTTCAGAGGTTGATTGTGGACATGTGCTAATGCATTTTTCCCTCTCAGTAATCTCACTGGGAGACAAAGTTCATGCTCAGGAGTGAACTTTTAGAAATGCTGTCTGTCCCTATATAAGTTTCTTATTAATGAAATAAGTTTCTTATTAATCTCTTGATGATGCAAGGCCTGGAGCACCTCTCCTATGCAGTCAGACTGAGACAGCTGGGGTTGATCAGCATGGGGAAGGCTCTAGGGAGACATTTCTCAGCCTTCTGTTACCTAAAGGGGGGCTTACAAGTCAGTATTGTTGATAAAGGTGTATTTTGGCTAGTCTCACCAACAATGTCATTTCTTGTTGCTCTTGGCTCAAACTGCATTGCATATAAATCCGACACTGTGACACTGCAGCCCTGCTTGGTCAATTCTTCCACAGCAATCTTCAACAAAGATCCGTTGAAGGACTTGGGCTCTTGATGTGCATAGACTATCAGCACTTTTTTCCCTGGAGGCAGAAAGAAAACCAGAAGACAATTTGGAATATAGGAGGCAGATGCAGGACAATTTGTGGAGCTGGGACTTGGTCCTTCCTTTTTCTATAGTGTGTTTTCCCAGTGGCACAAAACTAGTGGAAACAGAGTGACAGTGGCAGGATTTGACTCCCGCTCAGCAGCAGTGAGTGACTCCTGAGGCATTAATCGCTGAATGCCCACAGCCCAGCAATTCTGTGCAACACTGGGCTTTCCTAGGTGGAAGTCAGTGGACACTGGATGTGCTCCACTGCCCTATATAAATAGTACCCAGTCCCTCCTCGAGTTGATGTTTCTGTTGCTCTGATTCCACCATCCCCAAAAAGCAGTGCCAGCCTGGATTCTCTCCAAGTGCTGTGGCAGCAACTTCGGAAAGCTCAGAGCAACTTCCTACTGCAGTGTGGGATCCCCTCATCTTCCAGTTCAGTGCTGCGCAAGTGACAACATTGGGGTAGATGTTTAAGATGCCACTGCCCCATTTCAGCATCACAACAGTGACTTCAATAGAAAGCAAGAGGATTTTTTTTTTCAGAGATTAGGCTGTCTAGTGTATCTCAAACTGCTGTTAAGGTAGATTCAAGATAAGCTGAGTGGCCAGGCAGATATGCTGGGATGGAGCTTTTCAAAGGGATGTAACAAGACATATCGGGATTACTTGTTCAAAATTTATTGAATGTAGGCTATTGCATTTTAATAATTCTCTTTAAAATAATATTTCATCAGTGAAAACAAGTGTGTATGGGGTAGTAGTTGTTTATACATAACCCCTGCAGTGGGGGAAATTCCCAAGGACTGTTGAAAAGGACTGGATCTACAAGACATGCAGCTCTTGGTTCCTGACTGCCAACACTAAGCTTCAGGCATCTCCTGAGCTCAGTTGCTGCATGACACAGCTCC